TCTGTGTAGGACCCATCTTGTTTAAGTAGGGGCCCAATACTGGACGTTGTTCTCGATTTTGATTTGGCATAGGAGAAGAAAAATTTTGGGTTTCTTTCGATTTCATTTATGGCTTTTAGTTCTTCCGCGATTCCTGACTCCTAAGGATCTTTTAGCTTAAGTTCGATGCTTGCTATTTCTCTGACCAGTGTCTCCCTACGCATTTCAGATATATTGACCTCTTTTAGGGGCCGCTCTGTTATTTTTTTCCGTGCCTGTAAAGGGAGCGCCTGTCTCTTTCTGTTTTTCATCTACTCCTCCTTTTTCTTAGAGGAATAAGCCTTGTGCATACATCGAGTGCCACCGAGTTAATCTGTTCTAGGCATAAGTTGGGGTCTGTGTTGCTTAGTATATCTTCCCAGCTTATATCGGTTAGGACTTGGTTTACTTGGTCCCACTTTATGTTTTTGTTATTGAAGTTGAATTTGGTGAATGCTCCCTCGTGACTAGTCTCATTTTGTCGGTCTGGGGCTCCGCGCATACATGTCTGAACCTCAATTATGTTGTGATCTGAGTATATTGTTTTGATATGGTGATATTTCTTATCAGATCATCATTGTTAGTGAAGATGAGGTCTAGTGTATTCTCCAGTCTAGTAGGCTCTATTATTTGCTGGTTTAAATTGAATTTTGTGCAGAGATTTAAAAGCTCGCGTGAGTGTGAGTTTTCATCAGAGCTGCCTCCTGGTGTTATTACTGCAACAATATTATTTGCTATATTCCTCCATTTTAGGTGCCTTAAGTTGAAATCCCCCAGGAGCAAGATGTTGGGTGCAGGAGCTGGAAGGTTTTCCAGACAGTGGTCAATTTTTAACAGCTGTTCCTGGAATTGCTGGGATGTTGCATCCGGAGGCTTGTAGACTATCACAATGACTAGGTTTTGGTTCTCGACCTTTACTGCTAAAACTTCCACTACATCATTTGAGGCATTTAGCAGTTCTGTGCAAACAAGTGACTCTGCAATGTACAGGCCAACCCCCCCCTTTTGCCTGTTCACTCTGTCACATCTGTATAGGTTGTAACCTGGGATCCATATTTCGTTGTCCAAGTGGTCCTTTATGTGGGTCTCAGTGAAAGCCGCGAACATTGCCTTTGCCTCTGCAAGCAGTCCACGGATGAAAGGTATTTTGTTGTTTGTTGCTGGCTTTAGACCCTGTATATTTGCAAAGAAGAATGTTATCGGACTGGTGGTATTGTTGGTACTGGGGGGGGATTTTTTTTCCGGCATTAGTATCTGTCAGGTTAGGTCCTTAATTATGCTGCTCCCATGTTGACATTAGCTAGAGAAAGTTCTCTCCGACCCTTGGAGTTAATGCAAAATGAAGCTCTCAGAATTATTCTTGGCTGTCCCGGATCTACAAAGGTTCTTAATATGAGGAAGGAGCTTGGTATTTCTAGTATCAGTGATAGGATTATTGAGATTAACACTGTACTCGGTATTAGAATGTTGAGAAATGAACCAGACTCTGTCACAATGAATCTTACCAAGTGTCTAGAGGTAAATAAACACAGATCTAAATGGATTGTGAAAACGTGCAATTGCATTAAGTTTTATAACCTGCATGAACAGTATCACTGTAGGCAACATTTCACCCCTCCATGGAAGATGTGTTCATTTAATATCACATACCTAAAAGTCCCACCCAGGAAGTTCATTGCTAGTAATCCCTTCCTTAAATTACTTGTTAAAGCAACTGCTCAAGAAGAAATTTCTGGCCTAGCTGGTAGTAATAAGTTACCACAAGTTATATACACTGATGGATCTAAACAGGAGTCTTCTGGCAGGGCTGCATCTGCTCTTGTTGCCACCTCCCTAGTTAAGAACCATAATAAACTTGTTGAGTTAGGCATAAGAATTAACAACTGGGCGTCTACACTGCAAACTGAATTGTTTGCAATCCTAATGGCGCTAAAGCTAACCTATGACACTGAGCTTGACTCTATCATTATTACTGATTCTATGTCATCAGTGAAGGCTCTTGACTCGTATAATGACTCCAATAACATGCTCATTGGAGAAGCCAGGTACAGATATTAAAAAATCCGGAATAAAATTAGGAATAATATTAGGAGAGAAGTAAATAATGAAAATGATTGTTATAGGAATGCAGTTAGAAGATTGAGTAGATCTATAACCCACTATGATAACATGAACGTAGATAAGTATGTTTATGGAGCAACGTGCAAGGTGAACACTGACTGATGTTGTAGTGGCCAGACTTAGGCTTGGCTACAAGTACTGACTGATGTTGTAGTGGTCAGACTTAGGCTTGGTTACAAGTACTGACTGATGTTGTAGTGGCCAGACTTAGGCTTGGTTACAAGTACTGACTGTTGTTGTAGTGGCCAGACTTAGGCTTGGTTACAAGTACTGACTGATGTTGTAGTGGCCAGACTTAGGCTTGGTTACAAGTACTGACTGATGTTGTAGTGGCCAGACTTAGGCTTGGTTACAAGTACTGACTGATGTTGTAGTCGCCAGACTTAGGCTTGGTTACAAGTACTGACTGATGTTGTAGTGGCCAGACTTAGGCTTGGTTACAAGTACTGACTGATGTTGTAGTGGCCAGACTTAGGCTTGGTTACAAGTACTGACTGTTGTTGTAGTGGCCAGACTTAGGCTTGGTTACAAGTACTGACTGATGTTGTAGTGGCCAGACTTAGGCTTGGTTACAAGTACTGACTGATGTTGTAGTGACCAGACTTAGGCTTGGTTACAAGTACTGACTGATGTTGTAGTGGGCAGACTTAGGCTTGGTTACAAGTACTGACTGTTGTTGTAGTGGGCAGACTTAGGCTTGGTTACAAGTACTGACTGATGTTGTAGTGGCCAGACTTAGGCTTGGTTACAAGTACTGACTGATGTTGTAGTGGCCAGACTTAGGCTTGGTTACAAGTACTGACTGATGTTGTAGTGGCCAGACTTAGGCTTGGTTACAAGTACTGACTGATGTTGTAGTCGCCAGACTTAGGCTTGGTTACAAGTACTGACTGATGTTGTAGTGGCCAGACTTAGGCTTGGTTACAAGTACTGACTGATGTTGTAGTCGCCAGACTTAGGCTTGGTTACAAGTACTGACTGATGTTGTAGTGACCAGACTTAGGCTTGGTTACAAGTACTGACTGATGTTGTAGTGGCCAGACTTAGGCTTGGTTACAAGTACTGACTGATGTTGTAGTGGCCAGACTTAGGCTTGGTTACAAGTACTGACTGATGTTGTAGTGGCCAGGCTTAGGCTTGGTTACAAGCACTGACTGATGTTGTAGTGGCCAGGCTTAGGCTTGGTTACAAGTACTGACTGATGTTGTAGTGGCCAGACTTAGGCTTGGTTACAAGTACTGACTGATGTTGTAGTCGCCAGACTTAGGCTTGGTTACAAGTACTGACTGATGTTGTAGTGGCCAGACTTAGGCTTGGTTACAAGTACTGACTGATGTTGTAGTGGCCAGACTTAGGCTTGGTTACAAGTACTTCTGGCAGTTTGGGAGACACACAGATGATGATCAAACTAAATGTAAATTATGTGATCAGATATATGGTCACTCTCTTGAACACTATGTGCTTAATTGTCCACTTATTGAGGAATACAGAGACAGACAGTATAATAACCTATGTGACATGTCAAGATATCTTATTAATGAAAATAAGATACCAGATATATTAAGCAAATTTCCTAAATTTGCTTGTAACAGATAAGTGAACTATAGATATGTAGATATAAATCCGGATGTACTCCTGTTAACCCTTTTGGGCCTAGTTCCTAGGCCTCTTGTGTATCCACAGGATGGATATGAGGTGCACAATAAACTAGCAACTTCGGTGGCAAAATCTAAATCTAATGTGACTTTAATCTATCACTTTCACTAAACTTCTCTCATTTTCACCTACCTTTACCTCACCTCCACTTACATTTTATGATTTTTACCTAATTTTCTCTCACTTTCATCTAAATTTAACTCACTTTGATCTTTCACTTTCACAAAATATTCTCTCATTTTCATCAAACTTTCTCTCACTTTTTATTACTCTTTCCTCACTTTTACATTTCTCTCACTTTCACTTACATTTATCTCACTTTCACCTAAGTTTCTCTCATTTTCACTTACATTTATCTCACTTTCACCTAAGTTTCTCTCATTTTCACTTACATTTATCTCACTTTCACCTAAGTTTCTCTCATTTTCACTTACCTTTATCTCACTTTCACATAACATTAATTTTCCCTCACTTTCACCTAAATTTTCCTAACTTTCTCTCATGGTCACTTAACTTTCTTTCACTATCGCCTAAATTTCTCTTGGCTTTATCTTCCTTTCTCTAACTTCTTCTCATTTTCACCTAACTTTAATAAACATTCATTTACCTTTCTCTCACTTTCTCTAATTTCCACTTAACTTTCTCTTTCACCTTTAATAACTTTCTTCAAATATTCTTTAACTTTCTCTTCCCCTCCCCTCATTTTCTCTGACTTTTGCTTGCCTTTCTCTGGCTTTTACTTAATTTTCTATGGCTGTCACCTGACTTTCTTTGATTTTCATTTAACTTTCTCCGACTTTCGCCTAACTTTCTTTGACTTTCACTTAACTTTCTCTGACTCTCACTTAGGTTTCTCTGAATTTCACTTAACTTTATCTGACTTTCACTTAACTTTCACTGGCTTACACTTACCTTTCTCTGACTTTCACTTAACTTTCTCTGACTTTTGCTTAACTTCTCTGACTTTCACTTAGGTTTCTCTGACTCTCACTTAGATTTCTCTGACTTTCACGTAACTTTCTCTGGCTTTCACTTAACTTTCTCTGACTTATACTTAATTTTCTCTGACTTTCGCTTAACTTTCTCTGACTTTCACTTAACTTTCTCTGACTTTCACTTAACTTTCTCTGACTTTCACTTAACTTTCTCTGACTTTCACTTAACTTTCTCTGACTTTCACTTAACTTTCTCTGTCTTTCACTTACCTTTCTCTATAAGTTCGTTGAAGCTGGCCACTACCAGACCTTTCCGAACTTGTCTCCCGCTGTCCCATACTTTATACGGGCGCTTCCCCTTCCCCTGTTAAGATAACATTATGTTAGTAATAACATTAGTGATAACATTGTTAGTGATAACATTGTTAATAACGTTAGTGATAACATTGTTAGTGATAAAATTGGTAATAACATTGTTATTAGTGATAATATTAACATTGGGTGTTGGTACTGATAGAAGATGGTCAGTACCTCAGTCATGATAGAAGATGGTCAGTACCTCAGTCATGATAGAAGGTGGTCAGTACCTCAGTCATGATAGAAGGTGGTCAGTACCTCAGTCATGATAGAAGATGGTCAGTACCTCAGTCATGATAGAAGATGGTCAGTACATCAGTCATGATAGAAGGTGGTCAGTACCTCAGTCATGATAGAAGATGGTCAGTACCTCAGTCATGATAGAAGATGGTCAGTACCTCAGTCATGATAGAAGATGGTCAGTACCCCAGTCATGATAGAAGATGGTCAGTACCTCAGTCATGATAGAAGGTGGTCAGTACCTCAGTCATGATAGAAGATGGTCAGTACCTCAGTCATGATAGAAGATGGTCAGTACCTCAGTCATGATAGAAGGTGGTCAGTACCTCAGTCATGATAGAAGGTGGTCAGTACCTCAGTCATGATAGAAGGTGGTCAGTACCTCAGTCATGATAGAAGGTGGTCAGTACCTCAGTCATGATAGAAGGTGGTCAGTACCTCAGTCATGATAGAAGGTGGTCAGTACCTCAGTCATGATAGAAGGTGGTCAGTACCTCAGTCATGATAGAAGGTGGTCAGTACCTCAGTCATGATAGAAGGTGGTCAGTACCTCAGTCATGATAGAAGGTGGTCAGTACCTCAGTCATGATAGAAGGTGGTCAGTACCTCAGTCATGATAGAAGGTGGTCAGTACCTCAGTCATGATAGAAGGTGGTCAGTACCTCAGTCATGATAGAAGGTGGTCAGTACCTCAGTCATGATAGAAGGTGGTCAGTACCTCAGTCATGATAGAAGGTGGTCAGTACCTCAGTCATGATAGAAGGTGGTCAGTACCTCAGTCATGATAGAAGGTGGTCAGTACCTCAGTCATGATAGAAGATGGTCAGTACCTCAGTCATGATAGAAGATGGTCAGTACCTCAGTCATGATAGAAGATGGTCAGTACCTCAGTCATGATAGAAGATGGTCAGTACCTCAGTCATGATAGAAGGTGGTCAGTACCTCAGTCATGATAGAAGGTGGTCAGTACCTCAGTCATGATAGAAGGTGGTCAGTACCTCAGTCATGATAGAAGATGGTCAGTACCTCAGTCATGATAGAAGATGGTCAGTACCTCAGTCATGATAGAAGATGGTCAGTACCTCAGTCATGATAGAAGATGGTCAGTACCTCAGTCATGATAGAAGATGGTCAGTACCTCAGTCATGATAGAAGATGGTCAGTACCTCAGTCATGATAGAAGGTGGTCAGTACCTCAGTCATGATAGAAGGTGGTCAGTACCTCAGTCATGATAGAAGGTGGTCAGTACCTCAGTCATGGTAGAAGATGGTTAGTACCTCAGTCATGATAGAAGGTGGTCAGTACCTCAGTCATGATAGAAGATGGTCAGTACCTCAGTCATGATAGAAGGTGGTCAGTACCTCAGTCATGATAGAAGGTGGTCAGTACCTCAGTCATGATAGAAGATGGTTAGTACCTCAGTCATGATAGAAGGTGGTCAGTACCTCAGTCATGATAGAAGATGGTTAGTACCTCAGTCATGATAGAAGGTGGTCAGTACCTCAGTCATGATAGAAGGTGGTCAGTACCTCAGTCATGATAGAAGGTGGTCAGTACCTCAGTCATGATAGAAGGTGGTCAGTACCTCAGTCATGATAGAAGATGGTTAGTACCTCAGTCATGATAGAAGGTGGTCAGTACCTCAGTCATGATAGAAGGTGGTCAGTACCTCAGTCATGATAGAAGGTGGTCAGTACCTCAGTCATGATAGAAGGTGGTCAGTACCTCAGTCATGATAGAAGGTGGTCAGTACCTCAGTCATGATAGAAGGTGGTCAGTACCTCAGTCATGATAGAAGGTGGTCAGTACCTCAGTCATGATAGAAAATGGTCAGTACCTCAGTCATGATAGAAGGTGGTCAGTACCTCAGTCATGATAGAAGGTGGTCAGTACCTCAGTCATGATAGAAGATGGTTAGTACCTCAGTCATGATAGAAGGTGGTCAGTACCTCAGTCATGATAGAAGGTGGTCAGTACCTCAGTCATGATAGAAGGTGGTCAGTACCTCAGTCATGATAGAAGATGGTCAGTACCTCAGTCATGATAGAAGATGGTCAGTACCTCAGTCATGAAAGAAGATGGTCAGTACCTCAGTCATGATAGAAGATGGTCAGTACCTCAGTCATGATAGAAGATGGTCAGTACCTCAGTCATGATAGAAGGTCGTCAGTACCTCAGTCATGATAGAAGATGGTCAGTACCTCAGTCATGATAGAAGATGGTCAGTACCTCAGTCATGAAAGAAGATGGTCAGTACCTCAGTCATGATAGAAGGTGGTCAGTACCTCAGTCATGATAGAAGGTGGTCAGTACCTCAGTCATGATAGAAGGTGGTCAGTACCTCAGTCATGATAGAAGGTGGTCAGTACCTCAGTCATGATAGAAGATGGTCAGTACCTCAGTTATGATAGAAGGTGGTCAGTACCTCAGTCATGATAGAAGATGGTCAGTACCTCAGTCATGATAGAAGGTGGTCAGTACCTCAGTCATGATAGAAGGTGGTCAGTACCTCAGTCATGATAGAAGATGGTCAGTACCTCAGTCATGATAGAAGGTGGTCAGTACCTCAGTCATGATAGAAGATGGTCAGTACCTCAGTCATGATAGAAGGTGGTCAGTACCTCAGTCATGATAGAAGATGGTCAGTACCTCAGTCATGATAGAAGGTGGTCAGTACCTCAGTCATGATAGAAGATGGTCAGTACCTCAGTCATGATAGAAGATGGTCAGTACCTCAGTCATGATAGAAGGTGGTCAGTACCTCAGTCATGATAGAAGATGGTCAGTACCTCAGTCATGATAGAAAATGGTCAGTACCTCAGTCATGATAGAAGGTGGTCAGTACCTCAGTCATGATAGAAGATGGTCAGTACCTCAGTCATGATAGAAGGTGGTCAGTACCTCAGTCATGATAGAAGATGGTCAGTACCTCAGTCATGATAGAAGGTGGTCAGTACCTCAGTCATGATAGAAGATGGTCAGTACCTCAGTCATGGTAGAAGATGGTTAGTACCTCAGTCATGATAGAAGGTGGTCAGTACCTCAGTCATGATAGAAGGTGGTCAGTACCTCAGTCATGATAGAAGGTGGTCAGTACCTCAGTCATGATAGAAGATGGTTAGTACCTCAGTCATGATAGAAGGTGGTCAGTACCTCAGTCATGATAGAAGGTGGTCAGTACCTCAGTCATGATAGAAGGTGGTCAGTACCTCAGTCATGATAGAAGGTGGTCAGTACCTCAGTCATGATAGAAGATGGTTAGTACCTCAGTCATGATAGAAGGTGGTCAGTACCTCAGTCATGATAGAAGGTGGTCAGTACCTCAGTCATGATAGAAGGTGGTCAGTACCTCAGTCATGATAGAAGATGGTCAGTACCTCAGTCATGATAGAAGATGGTCAGTGTGTGTGTGTGTGTGTGTGTGCACTCACCTAGTTGTACTCATCTAGTTGTGGTTGCAGGGGTCGAGTCACAGCTCCTGGCCCCGCCTCTTCACTGTCGCTACTTAGGTCACTGTCCCTGGTCCGTGAGCTTTATCATACCTCTTCTTTAAACTACGTATGGTTCCTGCCTCAATTACATCACTTTCCAGACCATTTCACTTCCTAACATCCTGGTGACTCATCTGAGTCTTCAACTTCCAACTGTGACCCCTTGTTGCTGTGTCCCATCTCTGGAACATCCTGTCTTTGTCCACCTTGTCAGTTCCTCTCGGTATTATATATATATATTATAAAATATATATATATATATATAATAATATATATATATATATTATATATATATATGTGCATATATATATATGGTGTGTGTGTGTGTGTGTGTACTCACCTAGTTGTGGTTGCAGGGGTCGTGTCACAGCTTCTGGCCCCGCCTCTTCACTGGTCGCCACTAGGCCACTCTTCCTGCTCCATGAGCTTTATCATACCATCATACCTCTTCTTAATGCTATGTATGGATCCTGCCTCCACTGCATGACTTCCCAGACTATTCCACTTCCTGACAACTCTGTGACTGAAGAAATGCTTCCTAACATCCCTGTAATACATCTGAGTCTTCAACTTCCAACTGTGACCCCTTGTTGCTGTGTCCAATCTTTGGAACATCCTGTCTCTGTCCACCTTGTCGACTCCTCTCAGTATTTTATATGTCGTTATCATATCCCCCTATTTGTCCTGCCTTCCAGTGTCGTCAGGTCGATTTCCCTTAACCTCTCCTCATCCGGGACTAGTCTTGTTGCAAACCTTTGCATTTTCCTCTAGTTTCCTTACGTTCGTGGCTAGGTGTGGGTTCCAAACTGGTGCCGCATACTCTAATATGGGCATAACGTACACAGTGTACAGGGCCCAGAACGATTCCTTATTGAGATATCGGAATGCTGTTCTGAGGTTTGCTAGACGCCCATATGCTGCAGCAGTTATTTGGTTGATGTGCACTTCAGATGTGCCTGGTGTTATACTCACCCCAAGATCTTTTTCCTTGAGTGAGGTTTGTAGTCTCTGGCCCCCTAGACTGTAATCTGTCTGCGGTCTTCTTTGCCATTCTCCAATCTTCATGACTTTACACTTGGTGGGATTGAACTCCAGAAGCCAGTTCCTGGACCAGGCCTGCAGCCTGTCAAGATCCTTCTGTAGTTCTGCCTGGTCCTCGTCCGATTGGATTCTTTTCATCAACTTCACATCTGCAAACAGGGACACTTCAGAGTCTATTCCTTCAGTCATGTTCACAAATACCAGAAACAGCACCAGTCCTAGGACTGACCCCTG